TAAGGCTTATTTAGTTTTTATACTATATAATATATAAAAATATCATTTATTTGTATAATTTATATGATATTCTTGAAAATATCATAGGTTATATGGCTTATAAATCAAATAAGTCTTAAATAAGCCAATGGGGTGTAGAGTAAGCCTAATCAAGCCGGCTTAATTTGGAACACTGCAAAAAATTATTTAATACATTATTTAACACAATTTAAAAACTTATTAATAAACCACTAAATATTTATCATATTCATGGTAAAGGTTGGAAATGCATTATTGGAGATTTAGATGCTGGTCAAGCAAAAGGATTAGGGCTTGCTTTGTATGAATTAGATCAATCTAAATATTGGGAAACACACTTAATGTATATTTTTAAATCATGTGTTATACATTTTCAACAGTAAATATTTTTATAATATTTAAACTATATTTTTATAAAATAAATAAAAATTAATTATTAATATATTTATTATATAAAAATTTATTTAATAAACATTTTCCTGAAGAAATTTATACTTTGGCAAAATCAATTATTACTGCACCATCCTCCAAATCAGTTGAATATATTTTAGATACAATTAGATTATCAGATGAAATTGGCACAAAAGGTAGACATTATATATTTATAATTTTAAAGATTTTATTGTAAAAATTTAAAATAATAATATTATATATATTAAATAGATTAGGCAAATTATTATGAAACTCCATGGATAATTTCATCATTAAATATAAATATGACTAAGATAGAACGACATATTTGGCAAAAGTATGATAATAATACAAACTCAGCTGAGGCAGCTCATGCATTAGTTAATAAAAATGGAAAACAACTAAAATTATTATCTGCAATTTTAATGTAATATTCTTTATTAATGATACAATTTTAAATTAATTTTATAATACCAATTTATTAAAATTTTTAGTGGAAAAAGGCATGATGAAAAATTATTAAAAATTCAAGAAGTTCATAATTCTTCCGGTGTTCCTTATACCAGACATGATAAAAGTGATGTAAAAAAACAACAAATTGCATTAAAGCATAAAGGTAAATATTTAATTTTAATACAGTATAAATATAAATTATTTTATTTAATATATTAGTTTAATTTATAATTTTAGCAATGAAATTAAATAAATCTGAATCAAAAATCTCTCGCAAAAGAAAAATTTATTCAACAAAATGCTAAAGAAAAAAAATTGCGACAAAACAATTCTCAAGCTACCAATATTAATGAAATAGAATCAGATAATGATTTACAAGATATAAAAAATAAATTTCAGGTAAAAAGTTCTGGAATTATATCATTAAATGAAATTGATAAAGAATCTATTTCAAATATTGAACTAGAAGAAAAAAGGATAGCACTATTAGAGCGAAAAGTCAAACTTAAAAAGGAATTGGCTAAAGCAAATGCTATTGAATTGCAAAATCGGCAACTAAAAAAAAATTTAGGTTTGCCTTGAATGCAATTATATTTAGATTAATCTTGCATAATTGCTTATTTTCTACATATATACATATAGAAATAGATATGTTTTATAATGCAAATGTGTTTTAGCATGTTTGTAGATTGAATATATGTCACAAATACAATATTACTATATATTCAATATATATATATATATAGTTATATATATATTTACATATTTAAAATAATGTACACATTAAAAAAAATTTAAAGATAAAATTTTCATAAGTACTAGTATAAAAAATTTTATATATTATAAGCATACGTACTATCAAAATTTTTGTACGTCTGTCCAAATTTGTAGTACCGTATAGTACTACTTTACCGAATACCTTAAAAAATGTGGGCAGTCCATGTCCAAATTATGGACATGGACATTGGACATTGTTTATGGACTGTCTATGTCCAATAATTTGCTTGGACATATGTCCATGTACAATACTGGTAATAATGATTGGACGTATGATGCGTTTCATACATTTATAACTTCTAATAGATTAATTCCAAAAATTACTCAAGCCTTAAAGAATAATTTCAATAGAGGCAAAAGTAACTTTATGACCATATGTATTATTTACTAAATTTCAAGAGCATCGTATTTGTTTGTATCAGAAATCTTGATTAAAAATGAATATTTTTTATTATTTATATAAATGAGTTTTAATAAGAATTGCTGATAAATTATAATTTCGGTTATATTTATTATTATTACAGTAATCGTTAATCAAGTCAGCTTGTTTATATATTAAATGGAAACCAATTTTTCTCATCACACAAGTTTATTTAGAATTCTGATCCAATTTGTATCAATTTATGAATTTATAAGCATTTAATCTTGTACAATAATATATGGTTAAGTTTATAAAGTTCCGCATAGTTTTTTAAGCTTTTCCCAATTTTGGAGCATGATGGAAGTTTGTTTTGATTGGCCAATATTTGTGATCTACAAAATCTGTTACACAAATCTGATATTGTTGCCGATTGGCTAAAATAATTTCATATTTAAAGAAAAAAAATAGCAAACTATCGACTAATACTATTTACTAAAATTCATAGATTTATACGAAAATATCAATTTACTTTTATTATTTTTTATTTAATCTTTTGTAGCATATTTGTTCTTTGTAATCAATATATTTTAGCAAAATCATGCATAATTTAAATATATGTAACCATTATTATGAAAAGTTTATATTACCGTTATAGAATCCTTTATAATAAAGCTTTTATTGAGAATTCATAGCTCAATGTATCAAAAAATAACTATCATTGCGCAATAAATATTTATAATAAATAATATATTTAACACTATTTTTTATCTTATAAAATAATCTTGTTTTATTTTATTTTGTTATATGAATACATCTTACAATTATATAGTTTCGAAATTTTTTCAGATATCGATTTTACTCTGCTCAAAATAAAAGGTTCAAAAATCAAAAACTAAATCTATACAGCTACGAGAAAAAGTATAAGGATTGTATTGTATATTTCACAATTTAAGGTGTCGTGATCGAAGATCATAACTTCCAAGATAATATTACCATAGGATCGTTGAAGGCTTGGAATTGTCAATAGAAAAATCGATGGATAAGCAGAAGCGAATCTAAGAAAATTCATAAGAAAAAATATGCATAGAAAGAATCTAATGCTGGAAAAAAAAAGAAATAGTTAGCGATCATATTGTTCTAGAAAGAAAAATAGAAATTCTTTCTGATATGTAAAGTAATAGGCCTTTTGTGTCTCTTAATAATCTGTAAAATATAAAAAGATCTGATTTTATCTGTCAAACCGTTTAAGTTCTTTTCAACATAATTAAATTATCCACTTTATCTAAGAATAAATTTTTCAAAAATAAAAAATACAATTAGTTATTATATCGCATTGTCACGGGGTAAAAGTGATATTTCCGATGATCGACTAGAACTGCAGTATAATCACTTGATTTTCGAAACAGGGTCGCTGATCGAATTCTTCGAGAAAGAAAAGTTATGCGTACAATTTAAGAGACTTAGATGCAATTGTTGGAAGATTCTAGCAATAAGCAAAGAGAAGAAGGTTTACGAAAGAATTACGGATAAAGGAAACCTGAAAGATAAAGGAACGAAAGGAATAGATTGGCAGGATTAACGAAGGCATTATTGTAATTTACCCCAAGCCTTTTATGATAGTTTGTGTATAAAAGAGTGTTATTTTTCTTTAGTACCGGTAATAGGAAGAAGATTCTTCGGGACAATAATAATAAAATAATTAAATAAATAAAAAATAAATAATAATAAATAAAATTCTATTACTTAATTCTCGCCCTGCATAACGATCCTATTAAAATTTCTTTAATTCTGTTTAATCTGAAATAAATAAACATAATTAATACACTAAA